TTGTGTTTCCAATGGGTCTTGCAGTGATATTTTGGGGGCGGGGAGGTGATTTTCTTCTTCAGCCAGAATGGATTAATTGCATTACAGTGCATTCCTATGGGAAATGGTGCTTCGACTTACGGCTACTTCAAGTTACGACCATCTTCCAAAATGGATTAAATTTGTAAATCAAGGCACCACTATAATCTTGTTGCTGTGTTCTGGACCATTTGAAGTTTCTGCATCAATCTAAAGGGAAGCACCACGTAGAGTGCATTGCAGTAGTCCAATCTCAAGATCAAGATAGGAATGCAGCTCGGCAATCCGCCGAAGATGTAAATGGGCTGTGCAGACCATAGACGTTACCTGGATTCCATGGCGGTGGATCCCAGGCTGTGGACCACACTCTTTGTGGTGAGAGTTGCTCCCCCAAAAGAGAGGGAGCTTTCCAAATCACTGATGACAGGGGCGCCCACTCTCAAGACCTCCGTCTTATACGGGCTCAGCCTCAGTCCATTCTCCTGCATCCATTGTAAAACAGCCCCCAGGCAGTGCTCAAGGAATGTAATGGCATCCACTGTTGATGGAAAAAAGGAGATGTAGAGCTGAGTGTCATCAGCATACTGATGAAGGGGGAAGTCAGCTTTTCTTTAGTCAGCATGGAAACGCAGGCTACTAGCCTCTTAACAGGCCAGTGAACATTCTACTGAGCAGACTGGTGAAGGAAGGATACAACCATCTTACATTTTCATTCTTTCCATCACAACTAACTTGTAAACCACATCCTTGTGATCTGACTGCTTTTATAAAAGGATATTATTAGAACTACATGACCTGTTCTTTGACTCCTGATCTACAGTTATTCTTTTTAAAATATATGTTAATTTATTAAAATATATATTTATTTTCATTCTTTGTCTCATAATCTGCTTCTGCATGTTAGAGACAAAAGATATTCATGAAGTAATTCTCTACAAAAGCTGATACTGGTAAGCAGCAATAGCTGTGCTGCTTGTTGTTGGGATAGATCACAGGAAATGTAAATTATTCTTGATAAAACCTGCTTGTAAAGCTATTTTAGCATGATAGCTGAAACCTGTTGCTTAACATAATAAGTTGTACTAAAGTAGGCCCATTGAATAGTAAGGATTTTTGTGAGTCAACCTCTGTGTAAATTTAGTTGATTCAAATGAAATTAATCGAGTTGCAACTTACTTTAGCGTTGCACCAACTGAAATTAGATGTAGTAATTCTGTCTTCTTACAACAAGTCTGTTTTAGAAAATTGACCTTCATAGTTAATCTACTAGAGCCATGATTTCCAACCTTGGGTCCCCAGATTTTTCTGGAGTAAAATTTCCAGAAACCTTCACCACTAGCTGTGCTGGGCAGGATTTCTGGGCATTGTAGTCCAAGAACATGTGGGGACTCAAGGTTGGAAATCATTGTGAGAGAGCTAATGGGGTGACAGAAAAATTCTTTTATCCATCTTCTTGCTTGGATTGTTCTATAAAAATGAAGACCAAATTTAACCAAAATTTTTACTTGCAGGTTGTTCCTAGATGTCCCAGATGTCCACCTGATGAACCACTTGCCATCATAAAGCCAGAAATAGTGTTCTTTGGTGAAAATCTGCCTGAGCAGTTTCATAGGGCCATGAAATATGACAAAGATGAGGTTGATCTTCTTATTGTTATTGGGTCTTCACTTAAAGTAAGACCGGTAGCATTAATTCCAAGTAAGTGCTACTTGGTCCTATTTTGGGAAGGATATTGGGGAGAATCTTTGTTTTACTTTAAAATCTACTTCTATTCTGTTCAGTGCCTGAAAACATTGTAGAAGCAATTGATGTACATATTTAGTTTACTATTAATAGATCATAATAATGCAGAAATCAGAATTCATGGTCCCTTGAGATAGTAAAGTTAAACAAGTACATAAATTTGCTTATCCACTTTATTTATGATTTTTTATTTGTACTGATAATTTGTACTGATTTGTATTATTATTTTCTTGAACATACAGGTTCCATCCCACATGAAGTGCCTCAGATTTTAATTAATAGGGAACCCTTGCCTCATCTACACTTCGATGTGGAGCTTCTTGGTGACTGTGATGTTATTATCAATGAGTTGTGTCATAGATTAGGTGGTGCATATGCAAAACTTTGTAACAGTTCAGTCAAACTTTCAGAAATTGCAGAGAAACCTCCACGACCACTCAAAGAATTTGAAATACATTCAGTTGAGTTACCACCTACTCCGCTAAACGTTTCTGAATATTCTAGTTCACCTGAGAGAATTATCCCACAAGATTCTCAGGTAGTACGTTCAGAGCATTCTTCCGAATTTAAAGTAGGAGATTCAGAAGTTGCCTTGGAATCTAAAGAGTACTGTATGGAGGAAAAGTCACATGAGGTACAAAACTGTTTAGAAAACACTGACAGTCTTCCTGGCCAGTTAGAAGACCCAGAACATGTGAAGGAACATGGATCTAACCAAGGAGAAAATAAAGATAAAAGTGAAAAAACATCTGTTGAAGCACTGAGAAAATGTTGGGTTAACAAATGTCCAAAAGAGCAGATCAGCAAGCGTCTTGATGGTAAGTTCTAACTAATTTGTAATACTATTGTTCATTTTATGGTTCTATGGTTCAAAATAATTTCAAATTATTAAACATTAACAGTTCTGTCTTGAAAGCTTCGGTTAGTAGCAAACAATATTTTATTAAAATACCATGATCTTTAATGGCAAAAAGGTGGACACCAGGATCAGTAAAAGGTGTTGGCACTTGTTCCAATCCCATAGGATTGGAAATTCAGGATTAGAGATGGGCATGAACCTCGGTTCGAAGGTTCATAATCACAGCACCACAGGTGCCACATGTTCCCTTCCCTTATCTCTCAGGCCAGTTATCCACTCAGCTGTTGGGGCACATTCCTCTCCTTCTCTTCAGCTGTTGCACCAGTCCCTGACAGGAGTACAGGTTTGTCTGTCCGCCTTCGTTTCAGTGGGAGATTAGCCAAAGAGCCAGGCCAGGGAAGCCTATACTCCTGTGAGAGACTTGTCAAACTGCTAAAAAGGAGAGGAGTATGTGAGTGGGGAGACAGTTAGGGAGGCAGGTGAAGGGAATGTATGGCACCTGTGGTGCCGTGTGTACGAACCGAGGTTCTTGCCCATTTCTATTCAGTGTAAATGAAAGGATTCCTCTGACAGAATCAGCAAACTAAACTAAAACATATGCAGGGGTTAGTTATATGAACACAATCTGATAAAACCCAAATTGAATTAACTACAGAGCATGTTTTCCAAACAGATTTTTGCCTCAAGTTTATTGAGCCTCATCCATGTAGGACTAAACTATGATTTCTCATTAGATGAAAATCCAACCATTGTCTGTAGTATATTTGTTTTGCTGCTGTTCTGAAAATAGGCAGAGCTAGCCAGCCATGTTTTGTTTCTTAACACATGAACAGCTGTACATTTGTATTTCAAAAGTATACACTGTAATGGCCTGGTTCTTCGTGGCCTGTGTGAATGCACACAAATGGGTTTTAATGCATCTGTGCAGGACTCCTTGGAATATTCTAGAGCTTAAAAAGACGTTGACTAATAGGAGGTTGTCCTGTGACACGCATGCTCCGCCTGTCCGTAATACCTCAGTTCCTTTTAACTGCCACTGAAATCGGGCTTCTCTGTGACTCCTAGAGCTATTGGATTACAAATTTAATCAAGTTTTTTATTTATGGATGTTCCCTGTGAGTAATTTCTTTATCTCTCCCCTTCCCTTCCCACCCTTTTTGTATGGCCTCCTTAGGCCCATTCAAGTGCTGCACGACATGTGCCAATAAAATACCTTTTACGGACGGCCACAGTCATTGGTCGTTCTGTCTGAGTGAGAGTCACCAAACACACATTTGTCCAGAGGGTAAAAAATTAACAAAACCGGCTTAAAAACTCCAGCTTCAAAGACTAAGGTCCCACTTGTGGGAAAAATCTTTGGCACCTTCCAGTCTGCCAACCAGCCCCCCAATGGAACTTGCCCCATTGCCACCATCTCGATCTGAGTCTTCCATCGTGTTGGAGGTCTTCTGCCAAGGCTTCCAAGCCTAAATCAGGTATCAACGTCGACCTCGATGACGAAGTCTTCTTTGGTGTCGACAAAGACTCAATCTGGTAAAAAGCAAAAGGATAAGGACAGAGTCAAACAAAAGAAAACAAAGCTGGCTCCTAAACCTCATCAGCCTTGTGAGCCGCCAGTTGTCCACGTCTCCCTCCCATCTCCCATCCCGAAGGAATCGTCAAGGGACATCCCAGACCAAGGCTCCATTTCTGAAGCAGGGGAATTGAGTCTTCCTACTCAAGCTACAGTCTCCATACCGAGCTTGTCACCAAGTCATGGCCGCTCTGAGGCTGATATATCCAGCCTGGCCTCGGCCCATTCTAGCCCTGTTTCTATCAGGCAGGTGACTGTGATCCATCTGTTGAATTCAGAGGCATCGGTTTCGCAACCCTCTCCGAGGAAGAGGACAGCAAAGCGGTGTCACATCTCTCCATCCCCGCAGTATCGGGATGTAATCTTTTTTCTGTGTCCTTCTTGACACCATGCTTTTCCTCAATATGGAGAGCCTCTTTATGACATTGATCAACATGGTGATAACCACCAATACTGATTCAAGCAATATGACCCAAGGTTTGTTCCAGAGTATGAGTGTCCGAAATGCGTTCAGTGCGCTTATTTTTATTTATTTATTTATTTATTTAACTTATATGCCACCCACACTACCTGAAGGTCTCTGGGTGGCTTACAGCGTTTAAAATACGATAAAAGGCAAAATAAAAGGGCAAAATAATTAAAATGCAACTAAAATACATATTCTAAAAGTTATGCCCCATCCGAATCCTCGCCGCCGCCACCTTCTCTTCAGAGTCGACACCGAGCTAGTTACAAGCCCGCTCCAATGGTGCCAACATCTAAGAAATCTTCCAAACACCATTTGTCTAGCGCTGAAGTACCGCGCTGTGACCCTATTCTGTCTCGACACAAGTCCGCTCAACACGAGCCTGTTCCATCTAAACAGCAGTGCTCTTCTACGGTACCGTCAGCTTCAACCTCATGCCAGTCTGTCTCTCTATCTGGATCCCGCTCCAACTGTCAGGTCCCAGCACTAAGCCTTCTTGTTTCTGTTTCTCGAGGTCGTCAGCGCTCTACCTCTCCAACTCTTTCCATCTCGGGAGAATCTCGTTATCGACAGTTTCTGAACATTATCCTCCCTCTGAGTCATCCAGGGAGGCCCCATCAAACAACCCCAGATTCTGATGTTGCAGATTTTCCATCTCCATCTGAGGACTTCTTACGCACAGCTCATCCTACTCATGGCCAAATTGTTGGAACTGGACATTGAACAGCCATCTCCTCCCAAGCATGGCCTCATCTTTGATGACATTAATCAAGAAAAATCTCCTCCATTGAGTTTGGCTTTCATCCCAGCCATGCTGGACTTCATTAAGGAATCTTGGGACAAACCATCAATGTCCTTACAGATGTTGAGATGTGTGGAGAATTATTACCGCACTCATGGCACTGATACAGCATTTCTAGTCAAACATCCTCTACCAAATTCCATTATTGTGCAGTCAAATCAGTCCCGATCAGGCAATTGGTCCTCAGTCATTCTTACTAACAAGGAGGGAAGGAAACGAGATGTACTGGGCCATTGTCTATGTTCTCTGGCTTCTTTCGTTATGAGGGTGTCAAACTATCAAGCTGCAAGGGGGGGCTTATCACAGGCAGCTATGGAACAAAATCCTTCCTGTCCCTCAAGCAGCTCCTGAACCAGTGCTCTCATCACCCATCTTGAGGCCACTACTTTGGCTAAACACCATCCGGCATCTCGCCATACGGCTGACGCTGCTTCAAAATCTTTGGCTTCTGCCATTGCCCTTAGACAGCATGCATGGTTGTGGTCTGCGGGGATCACTTATGATGCTAGGTCCTGTATAGCGAATTTGCCCTTTGATGGCATGGGCCTCTTCAACGATAAGACTGACGAGGTGATGGAAAACTTACATAAAATCCGCAAGACTGCCCGCTCTTACTCCATTCAGCAGCCCAGATACCAACACAATCAATGGCGTAAGCCTTTCACTTTCCATCAGTCATACCAGCACCCCTATCACCCTTACAAACTTCCAGCTCAGATTCCTGAGAGATCCAACTTTTCTAAGCCTTCCTCTTCTGCTTCTCCTTTCCGGTCCGATGCCCCTGCTCAATGCAGACAAGGTTTCCGTCACCCTACAAGAAAAAAATATTTGACTCCTCTCTTGGACTATCCCCATCATCCCCGGCTGGCTCCCTTTTTCAACAAATGGTCCGCTATCACCAAGGACACTTGGGTACTCGCCATCATACATTTCGGTTACCTATTAGAATTCAAGGAGCTTCCTCCTCTTGGTCATATCAGACCCACAACATACTCACCTGCTCTAGAGGACGAGGTCACCCTCCTTCTTTGTAAACATGCTGTCCAGAAGGTTCCTGCCAAAGATATCCCCAATGGTTTTTACTCACATTATTTCACGGTTCCCAAAAAGGATGGAGGTCTCCATCCCATCTTAGACCTGCGACTGCTGAAATGTCTCAGATGAATGTCTCATTCATCTGAGACATTTTCACATGGTTACTCTTGAATCAATTATCTCTCTGCTTCAACCAGGTGACTGGTTCGTAGTCATAGATCTCCAAGACACATATTTTCATATTTCAATTCACGAACACCATTTCAGATATCTCCGTTTTCTCTTCATGGGCATTGCTTACCAATTTTGTCCCCTTCCCTTCGACCTGTCCACCGCTCTGAGGACCTTCACAAAGTGTCTGGCTCCAGTCGCTGCCTGTCTTCATCTACGCAACATCAGAATATTTCCATATATAGATGACTGGTTGATAGTAGCACGATCACACAGTGCAGCCCGAAGGGACACTACCTTCATCCTAGACTCCGGCAGATCTCGGCCTGCAAGTCAACTACAAAAAAAAATTGCGTCTCAAGCCATCTCAGACCATGGATTATATTGGGGCACATCTCAATTCTATCGTAGCCAGGGTGTTTACACCTCCAGAAAGAATACTCAAGGCAAGCCATTCGCCCCTTTTCACATTGCACCACAGTCACAGCTGCTAGGTCTGATGGCTTCAGCTATATCTGTACTGCAACATGCGAGACTGAAGATGCGGTCCTTACAGTAACTATCCCAGTTCGACCCTCTGCTAGACCATCCTTCCAAGTGTCCACTGGTGACAACTTACCTGGTGGACTTTCACCCCTCACCTCCTGGTGGGCTGCCCATTCAGGCCTCACCAGCTCACAGTACAGGTCACAACAGACGCCAGTCAGGCAGGATGGGGTGCACATTGCGGTCATTGAGAGATCCATGCTTTGTGGTCAAGTTCAGAGAGACTGTTGCACAGCAATCACTTGGAGTTGCTTGCAGTCATCAAATCCTTTCGAGCTTTCCATCTTCTCATAACTGGTTGCGGGGTCCAAGTCATCATGGACAATATGACCCAATACAGGTCACAACAGACGCCAGTCAGGCAGGATGGGGTGCACATTGCGGTCATTGAGAGATCCATGCTTTGTGGTCAAGTTCAGAGAGACTGTTGCACAGCAATCACTTGGAGTTGCTTGCAGTCATCAAATCCTTTCGAGCTTTCCATCTTCTCATAACTGGTTGCGGGGTCCAAGTCATCATGGACAATATGACCACTCTGTATTATATCATCAAACAGGGTGGCACCCATTCTTAAAATCTTCTATATTTAGCAGTTCAGCTATGGGTATGGTGTTATGATCAGCACGTAGCTACAGAGAACAACGAGGTCGCCAACCGTCTGAGCTGTCTTACCACCCAAACCCATGAGTGGGCCCTGAACAACACCGTCTTCTCTATTCTCTGCAGTTTGTGGGGGACGCCAGGTCTCGACGTCTTTGCCACCCAGGTCAACTCCAAATACAACAAGTACTGCTCATGGGCAGGAAGAGGAGAGGACCCTCTAGGTCAGTGGTTCTTAACCTTTTTGAAAGAAACACCCCTTGAGCCATTGAGGAAGTTATCATCGCCCCGCTCCCCGGGAGTGGCAGCGCAGTGCTGCTGTGGGGAGGAGGGCAATGATAACTTCCTCAATGGCAGTGCCGGCGCCACCACATCTGCTGCCAGCACCAGCTGCTCTGGATCTGGTGGCGCTGTGGTGGCGTCACAGGGAGGGGGGCAATGATAACTTCCCCGATGGTAGCGGCATGGCGGCGCCATTGTCCCCCATTACCCCATTCTGTTCCTTTGCTCCCACATTGCCCCTTTTCATTCCATCGCCCCCACCAAAAAATGAAATCACCTCCTGGAGGGGCAATATCGCCCAGGTTAAGAACCATTGCTCTAGGTGACGCTTTCATGGTGGACTGGGGCGACAGTCTCCTTTACCTCTTTCTGTCCATTCCACTCACCCAGCAAACAATAGTGAGGCTCCGTCAGCTGAACTCCGATGCCATTCTAGTAGCACCATGGTGGCCTCAACAACCGTGGTTCACCATTCTCAGATCCATGGCTATTGACTTCCTGAGGTTACTTTGTCAACCGTCCCTTCTGACCCAGGACGAAGGTTGGATTTGTCATCCCGACCTTGACGCTACACCTCTCTGTGTGGAGAATCCCCCCAATGTGGCTGAAGTCTTAAATAGGGCTAGGAAGCCTTCTACTCAATTACTGTATTCATATAAATGGAATGCTTTCGTCAAGTTTGCGGCATCACGGAAATTACCCATGGTTCCTGTCTCTTTGGACACCTTTCTCCAATTCCTTCATTATCTGTTTGACCAAGGTTTGGCTCATTCAGTATTGAAAGTTTATATTTCTGCTATAGTTTCCTATCAGCCTGAGGGGTCAGAGGCCTCTCATTTATTCCCTCATCCTACTTTGAAGGGATTTCTGAGAGGTTTGCGGAACATGCACCCACCTACACGACCTCCACTTCCACAGTGGTCTCTCCAGGTTGTTCTCCATGCACTCACTCGTCCACCGTTTGAGCCCATGGCCTCAATGCATCTCAAACTTCTTTCTATCAAGACTTTGTTGCTTGTGGCTATAACTTCTGTGTGTCGAGCAAGCGAGCTGTCCACCCTTTGAGCTCCTTACATTCAATTTTATCCCAACAAAGTTGTCTTATATCGAGATGTCTTTTCTTCCCAGAGTGATTTCTGATCTCCATGTTAATCAACCTCTAGTTCTTCCAACATTATTTTCTAATCCCTCTTCTGATGTTGAGCACATGCTGCACTCCCTCAACATTTGTTGTACCTTAGCATTTTACATTTCCAGGACTAAGGAATTCCACACTTACCCCAGATTTTTTGTGTGCTTCCATGGCCCACAAAAGGGTTCTCCTGCCTCCTCACAGACAGTCTTGAGGTGGCTTGTCTCTATCACTTTAGCTTATGACTTGGCAGGCAAGATTCCACCAGAAGTGCTGAAGAAGCACTCTACGAGAGCTATGACTACGTCTATGGCGTGGTTGCGTGGCGTTGAAGTCCCTGACATCTGTCAAGCGGCCACTTAGTCTACACCCTTGACTTTTGTGACACATTATCGTCTTGATGTCAGGGCCAAGAAGGAAGCAGGTTTTGGAACGGCTGTGCTGACATCATTGTTTCCGTGACAGCCCTCCTTCTGGTAAGTGAGCTTGCTAGTCAACCATTTGTGTGCGTTCACAGAGGCCACAAAGAAGAAAGAGAGGTTACACCCAGTACCTCTGGGAGGTTGAGTAATCAGGGTGGGTTAAAATTGGATTTTCTGTAGGAGGGCAAGTTTTTTCTCAGGAAGGGAACTCTCACATGTTTTGTCCATCCTTCAGGCAGTAGCTCCTCCCCTTCAGCTGTCATCAGTAAGATGGTAGTGGCAGCACACAAGTGAGGTGAGAAAGGGAAAAATTGATTCAACGGTCGTGGTGGCAGCAGCCTTTTTCTCCACCACCATTTATTTCCCTTGCCAGTGCCTCCTTGCCTCTCAACCCCTGGCAAAGCTAGGCTTGCTCAAAGGGGCTAAGGCTGGGCTGTGCCTCCCACTCCTTCCCATCATGGTCCCCCACCCCTGCCAGCTAGCCACCCGAACCAAAGAGAAGACACTGCTGGAAAAGGAGAGCACACAGCCAAGTGCCCAGGAGCCCCACAGCAGGGAGTGAAGAGAGTTTGGCTTAGGGAGTACAAGCAAGGGAGGGGGCAGAGTTTGTGCAGAAGGGAACTGGGTAGGTGACATATCTCTCTTCTCCAAAAACCATGGTGACCCCCCAGAAAATACTTTGCAACCCTCTTGGAGGTCCCAACCCACAGATTGGTAACCCATGCTTTAGATGGAGAACCCTAGCTGCTGTTCCTTTGCAACTCTTGAATAGATAAAGCTGACACTTTCTTACTCTCATACAATAGAAGTATCAGTAAGGATTATTTTGGAGTCAGTCTGGGTAAGGAAACTGTGAAAAATTTATATTAATGTTATAACAAGCAGTAGCACATTTTTGGAGGGGAAAAAAATCACATGATTAAATTGCATCTTTCTGATTAGCAATTTAAATCATGAAGCTTTTAGACAATGAGCTCTGGCCATATTTCTTTGATACAGTAATTAACACCATTTGATACCATTTCTAATTCATATATATCTTTTGGAGAAGCAACAGCTAGAAATAAAGGGAAATAAGTGAATTATAGAAAGACTTTGTAATTAAACCACAAAAACTGCAGTTATGCAGTTTTAAAATGATCTCTTATCTGAAAATTGTAAAATCTAGCCACAAATAATGTTTTGTTGGGCCAGTGTTTGAGATATATTGATTACTCAGTCTAGAATAACACAGATAGCATGCACTGCTAAAACCACTTTAAAAAAAGATTGTGTTTGTCCGCAACATATGAAATTAAAATGTGTAAGTTTAACATCGTCTTATAAAATTGCTATAGGGCTTTTTGGATGGAGCGAAGAAGGAAGAAAAGGAGAGATAAAATCTGCTGTAGATCCTGCACCTTTTAAAAACCCTGCTTTCCTTTCACAAGTCCTTCTGAAACAGTAGATTCACATACAAATATATCATTGCCTAAGAAACAGCAGCATACAAAATAAGGCAATTCAGAACAGTTCCATGTGTCAGAGATTTTTATATAGAACTTCAATTAATAATCCCAAAATAACTACTCTTGCTGATCAAACATATTTCAGGTACCCAATACTTGTTTGTACCACCAAATCGGTATATATTCCATGGTGCTGAAGTATTCTCGGACTCAGAAGATGATGTCATATCCTCCAGCTCTTGTGGAAGTAGTAGCGATAGTGGGTCCTGTCATAGTCCAAGTTTAGACATAGAAGATGAGAGTGAAATTGAAGAATTATATAACGGCATAGAAGAAGATGCACCTGATAGGGAAGATGAGAATGGATTTGGGGAAGATGGAATTCAAGACTCTGTGGATGTGTCAGTTCCTGTAAATGAGTCTGCAGGATTTGACCATTCGGCAGACAAACTGTAATTACTGACTGGTTTCAGGAACTTTCCCACCAGCATTAGAAGTTTTAAGCATGTCAGATTGAATGTGTACTGAATTTAGAACAAGGAAAACATAAAAATGTAATGTTTGTAAGCAGCTAGAATAGATTTACATGCATAGTTTTCTAACTTTTCCAATCAAAATTCTGTAAAGGCACATTCAACACTAATCTTTATTTGTTCTGAATTTTGATGAAGGTACTAAGTATCTTTTTACTGTCACAGCATTCACTTTTGTTAAGTTAATCTGTGTGATTTGTGTGTGTATATATACAGTATTTTTGCTTAACAAATTTCAACTTATTTTATTTTTGAACTGTTTGAAAAAGCCATTGGAATGTTAATATAATATAAAGGGAACAGCTAATCTAGACCAAAGAATGGTATTTTTCTTGCCTCTATTGCTTTGTAACAGTTTGTTTTATTTAAAGCTTGCTAATGTCTCTTCTAGCTTGGTTACTGCATAATCTGTTGTTAAACACTGGTATTTCCCCCAAAATTAATATGGCAGCTATTTTGAAAAAAAGTTACTCTTGTTGAGCATACTTGCATGTAAGCATATTAAAAGTTTATTAGTCATCATAGTGAGCGCGTGAAAATCCATGACTTAGATAAATAGAAAATGATAGATTAAAAATAAAGAAATACAACTTCCTATGGTTATGTAACTGTGCCTAATTGGTTGCAGGGAAGTATTAAATAAGAAATTGTGAAAATTGGTTTGGTTTGAGAAAAAAATGGGAATTTCGTGCAGGAAGTCAATGTAAGAAAAAATGTATAAAATTCTTTGTGTACGCTGCCAACACGAGAAATTGTAAATGTACTAAAGATCTGTATATAATATTCAGAATAAGTAGTCTCTCCCCAATGACAAAGATGTTTCTCTATTTTCCAGTAACTTACACAGACATGTATAAAGAGCTACTTACTTCCAACCTCATACAGAATATTCAATTTTGCCATAATTTAAAAATATGCTGCTTGTGGATTTACCTCTGTTTGAAGAACCTAATACCACTAGTTGGTACAGTGTTATAGAAAATGCAGCTGCTGAAATTGATCACAACACTGTTCCAAGGCTGCCTTTTAAAATTGATGTTGCAAGTGTTTCCAGCTGCAGATTATTTCCATGTTCACATTTATTTCTTACCTGCCTGTTAAATAGTAAGTTCTTGCATCAGTTCTTGAAACCACTTCTCAACTGTTCTAAAAGAGCTCTGCAAGTTACTGATCATTTATGTGCATTGCTTTAATATTTATTCTATTTTGAAATGTATAGTAGCTGTCCTTTTAAGCAATCTAATAATCTGTTCACAGCATAATAAACTGATAAGAATGGCCTTTTGTGTAAAACTCAAAAAATGTTGGCATGTTTTCTTATGGTCCAGGTTTTAAATAGCAGATTTTTCTGGACTATAGTAAAGAATGCAGTATGTTAGCTTTGCTTGCATGTCAAAATGTATTTGTGCTATAGGAGATATTTTAAATGGAAATATTTTGTTTTTAAATTATTTTTACAGTTTGGATTATTTTCTGCTTTTATATTGTATATAGTGTCTTTTATGTAACCAATTGGCATATGTTTTGTAGAAGACTGTTTTAAAATGACCTGGCTCTCTTCCTGCAACTTTTGAAATACAAAAACCAGTGTTTTATACTTGTACTGTCTGTTTTAAAGTCTATTAAATTGTCATTTAACTTTTTGGTTGCTGTTAAGAATCTGTGTGCAAAGCTTCTCACTCCTCTCCTGAAATTTCCTGTTTTATTTATAGATACAAAGTAGAATATGATTTATGAAAAACATACTTCTACATTTCCCTATCCATTTAAGGTAGAAGTGTGGAACCTTGGTTCTTCTGGTATTTTAGATTTCAATTCATAGAAGCCGCATTCAGTGATAAGGTCTTAGAGATCTGCCATCAGAAACATTTGATAGGTCAGAAGTTCCCCATTTCTTTTTTATGGGTTCTAATGGATGGGAAATATCTTCATAGTTCAAAATCCTACCTAGAATTAGGATAGCTCTATAGCCTAGAACTTTAGTGTTAGCAGCATAGACAAAGCTTCTATGAAATGTTTTTAACTTACTTGAAAAAAAACTGTTAAAAGAAGTGCAGATGTCCGTAGCCAAATTGTAGTTTTAACTGTGTTAAGGGCCACAGTTGTCCTATGAGCCCTTTACCATCCCTCTTCAATTCCTGCATATGAATTCTAACTCCTTCCCTTTTTAACATTAATAGCTCTGTATTTGTTTATCCTATAAATGTCAAAGTACAATTTGCAGAGAAATGATTAATAAATATGAGTAAAAAAATAAAATCCCATTATTAACGGGATGACCATAAAATAAGATTTAGATCCCAGTTTGGTTTGATTTAGATTAATTTGGAGGCTCTCCAGTTCTGTTTGGGTGTGAGTTCCAATTTCAACTCACACAACCAAAGCTTTATATATTCCACTGAGTGTCAGTGGAAATTAGTAAACAGCTATAAAATCTTTGTGTTGGAGCAGGATAGAATTTGTAGGCATAGTAATATCTTTGGAGGAATTTTACACCTGCCAGATTTCAGGCAAATAAGTACAAAGAGTTGTGCTGCACATCTTTAAATGTTGATTTTAAAAACACAACTGCCAGTAAGTTGTTCCCTGGCAGAACGAGACTAATTTTGAAAAAAATAGTTGCCCCTTTAGAGGGAACTGAGCTTTCCAAGTCTTGGAAGGAGATGTGCAAGGAGTTCTGTGCCAGAACAGATTGAAAGGTTTTTTTTTGGGGGGGGGGGGGCAAAGTTAAAAAATAGAAAAGGACATACTTCATTATTTTACTTCATTTTCGTGTAAGGAAAATATAGGCTGCAGCTGATCATAGATAAGATATCCATAAATTTTCAGTAGGGGTAAGAACAGAGTTTTATATAGGAGTGTTTACATTTAGAGGGGGAATGATCTGCTTGTTTTTATTTCCTTTGATGGGATGGGTAGGTCAGGTTGTATGAAAAGTATCATAGATATATCCCTTGAAAAAATTAGAAGGTAAGTGTAGAAAACTAGAGTTATAACATATAAAAATACATTTTATCCTCCCCGAAGTTGGCAACAAAGTCTCAGAAACTGGAAAACAAGAATACACCATACATTGGAGCATAAACTAGCTAAAGGACTTGAACATCCAGTATTTCTGTACTAAAACATACCAGTGTTATATATCTGCATTGGGTCCAGAACACTTCTAGCGTTTTTGCCTTTTGAAGAAAAAGTAACAGAACAGTGATCCATCCAGAAATATTACTTCAGCATTCTTCTCTCAGAGCACTACGATTAGGAAGCCCAGATAAAACTAGGGTGAGAGAAGCTTAAACAACTAGTTGTTAAGTTACACTCAGCTTTTGCCACCCTGATTTTTCCCTGTATAGAAAGAATAGAGGGAAATGTATCATTTAATTTTAAACTGTGCATCTATCTGAAACCAAACTGCTAACTGTTGGTAAAAATGAGTGGGAGGGGAAAGAAGGACAAAATATTGAGGCATTTTCAAGACTTATATATTTAATCTAGTTTGAGAATTCATGAAGCAGAATCAGCTTCAGACACCAGACTGTAAATACCATATTTTTTCTGTGTATAAGACGCCTCCATGTATAAGACTCCCCTTTTCTAACCCAAAATTAAGAAATCTAACTGGGACTTAACAAGTGGAGGGGGAAAGGGATCAAAGCGCTCCAGGATCGCTTTGATCTTTGCTTTCTCCCTTCGTGCTAAGCCCCAGTGGGGCTTACCAAAAGGAGGGGGAAAGCGATCAAAGCAATCCAGGAGCTGCACAATTACTTTGATCTCTTTCCCTCTTCTGCAACCGTGGGATTGCTTTGATCCTTCCCCCCTCCTTTTGCTAAGCCCCATGGGACTTAGCAAAAGGACGGGAAAGCAGGGATCAAAGGGATCCTGCAGAGCTTTGATCCCTACTTTCCCCCCTCTACTTGCTAAGCCTTAGCAAAAGGAGGAGAAAGCAGGGATCAAAGTGCTGCAGGATCGCTTTGATTCCTGATTTCCCCTCCACTTGTTTGTCTTCTCAGCTTACTTCCGTGTATAAGACAACGCTCAATTTTTTATCTAAAGATTTTAGACAAAAGTACCGTGTTTCCCCAAAAATATATTAATAGTTCCTCCAAAAAATACATTAGGGCCTATTTTGGGGGGTTGATTTATTTTTTTCATGGACAACAACCTACATTTATTCAGATATAGTCATGTCATCTTCTGGTTGCTGCGCAATGGTGGAAGGTGGGGTTTCTCTTAACTGGGGCTTATTTTTGTGGTATGACCATCCTGAAAAATCATATTAGGGCTTATTTTCGGGGAAGCAGGGTATCATTTTGTTCACAGAAAAATACAGTACATGTCCTGCATATTTATACATATTCCCACCATGACAAAAGTGATGACTAGGGGAGCATACAGATATTCATCAAAGTAACAATGCAGCATTAACACAGGAATGGGACTGTCAAGCCGTTAATTACTTGTGTTTCTGAAGTAAATTTTATTGAATGGTCTCTTATTGTTGTCCCAGTTTTGCCTGGTAAATTTTACCTCAGAGAACCTGGGGTTTCGTATCTCACTTATAGAATCCGCATTTTCACCTGCTTCTATTAAATTTCTGGGATTTTTGTCTTTAACTAAATAACGCAATTCTCCAGGTAAAATAGAATAAAATTGTTCTAACCCAATCACATTTTTCATTTGTTCTAGAGAAGTGACATTTTCGTGTTCCATCCATTTGTCCAAACAGTGAGTAAGTTTAGCCCCTAACTGAGAATAAGATTCTTCAGGCCTTTCCATTCCCCAAGGGAACGGCATTTTCTCCTCAGGTGTTCTGCATTTATGCCAAATCATGAATATTCAATTTTTCTATAGGCTTCAAAATCTCTAGCTTGCTCTAGAGGCATCTGCGAATACAGTTCAGCTAAATTTCCACTTATTTGTGATCTCAGAATTATCATCCTTTCATCATCCTTGATATCAAAGTCCCAACACGCTCTCTCCAATGAAATGAAGAAGGATTCAGGGCAATCTCCTTTCCTATATTGGGGAAATTTCTTTAGGTCAATTTTTGAGAGATTTCCCTCACTAGCACTGTTATTGGTGTTATTTTGAGAAGCTAATTCTAATTGTTTCATCTGTATTTCAAATTCCATTTCTCTTTGTCTGGCCTCTTGTTCAGATTTTTCTCTCATCCCTAATTCCTTGAGCACTTGCTCCTTAGCTTTCTCCTCAGCTCTGGCTTTTTCTCTAATTTCTAATTCCTTGAGCTGTCGTTCCTGAGCGTTCTCTCTGAGTCTGTACTCCTGTTCCAGTTTCCATTTTTCAAACTCTTGGGAGCTTAATTCCTTTTGTCTCTCTGAGGCACCCTCATCAATTTCCTCCTGTTCCATTGGAGTTAAAGTGTCTCCATTTCCCTCCATTTCTTGAGGTAAACTCTCTGCCTCACTACTCCCCTTTTGGCTACATTTGGGGGGCATATTTACTTCTGAGATAATTAGTCTTGAGTGTTTGTACTGATTTTAAAAAGGACCTGTCTTTTTGCTGTTAATCCCAGTAACTATTGTTGCACTTCCCTCCAGCTCTTTCTGGCTGTTTTCCAGCTAACAACCTTAAGTTACTGTGTCTATGTCTGAGCTATGTCTGCTCTCAGACACCAAAATAATTTTATTTCTCAAGCCTCTGCTTGGGTTTTTCTATCACCTCAGATCTGTGTAAGCACTCAGTCCTCCTAAGAGAATGCTGAGGCTGGAACAGACCCTCCTAAGAGTATGCTGAGGCTGGAACAGAGAGGGTATTGGGTTCAGCGTACCCCTATAAAAGCTGTAATGACTCCTTATTACGGCCAGGCCGTCTCACTGACACCCTTTTTCCCAAGTCTTTTCCCAATTAGCAATTAACTGAGAAAACCAAAGATAAAACCATGAGTCTTAGAGTCTGCC